AACAACAGTGTATAACTCAAGCAACTCCGGATTAATTGAAGAGTCCAAAGCTCCACAAAAGAACACCTTCCTTCAACATATAATACTCTCTTTTGTATAGTGAATATAATTGAAGACTTAGAATATTTTCTATGTCTCAACTCTCTCTTTCACTATACTAACCTCAATATAAACCACTCATCTTTTTCACTCTATATTTTCTTGTACTTCTCTTGTTTATTCTCCTATCTCAACACAAATGAAGACTACATTATTTATAGGTAATGAATTCTTTCTTGCAATGAATAGGAGATAGTGGATAGTAAATTTGACAAATGAATGACTCAAATGTTACATAAGTTACAAGACATAAATATAGAATAATGGATGAAATGAAGAGTTAGTGATTACATAAGTTACTAAAAACTAATGACCATTTTCTTCCACAATTGATTAGAGTAAAGAGGCACAAATGTAATGTCTATCAATAGACATTATATTATATATAATGTAACATATAATATATATTTTTATTAATATTATAATGTCACACCAACAACATGAACTAAAGTAATTTAGGTAAACACTCATAATACATGCACAATACATTTTTAATACATATTGCAAACATCACTCACGTTCTTAGTGATACAAACCAAAATAATTTATAAGACAGATATAATACATGTTTTATTGATGAACAATATAGGTTTAATTCAGTTTATAGATCGTTGTCTTGTCTTTCGTTAGTTACATTTTTCTTTCATTTTTAATTCTTTCTTCTAATTCAACTTTATTTTAAATCAAATTTAGTTTATTTACTTGTTCAATATTAGAGTAATACAATTTTAATTCATTTTGCAATTTATTAGTTGATTTTTTTATGTTTAATTACTTGTGAGTTCGTTGTTATACGAATTCATTCAGTTTACAGAAAATCATAGAATGTTCTTTTAGTTTGCTACATTTTACATTCATATTAATTCTCTTATAATTCAACTTTAGTATATGTGAAATACATTTTTAATTCAAGTTTATTTCATTTTATAATTTATTATGTCTCTTCATTTGTTACTATTAGATTGTTTATCTAATTAATTAATTATTGATAAAATATATATTTAGTTCACAAATTATTAATTACACTATGAAAGAAAATTGTGAGAGAGAAAGGGTAAAGGCAAGAGAGAGGGGGAGAGATGCAACAAAAAGAAAAAAGAAAGAAAAAATAATAGAAAGAAAGCAAGAGAAAAAAACAGCAATAGAAAGAAAAAAAGGAAAAAATAACAATATAAAGAAAAAAAAAAGGAGAAAGAGCAACAAAAAGATATAAAAATTAAAAAGGTGAGAGAGAAAAAAGCGAAAGAGGCAAAAGAGAGATAAATCTAATAAAATATACAGCTTTGTTGTATATTGCTATAAATAATAATAATAATTAAAGAGTATATTTAAAATAAATAATTATTTTTTTTATAAAAAAAAGGTCTCAAAGTAATTTTTCCAAAATAAAAGTATCTTTTTCACCCATTTTGAGTTGTTCAAAATCCCTTAATCTAAGTGGATTGCAACACTTCAGATTTATTTAATTGATTAAAATTAGTTTTTCCACAACTACTAATTGATCGCTTCAAACAACATTGATTCCTTAAATTATTGCGTTAAAATTGATTGTCTAGAAAAATAGAAAACTTTATATTTTTAGAGTAAAATAAAATTTAGAATTAAAAATGCCCTTAAATATTTTAAAAATCATCTTAATTGTATCATACTAACACCTACACGTGTAAAAATATTTATTCAATAGAAAGTACAAGTAGCTCCCATTGTTAATCAATTGTACAATAAAAAAAATTCAATCAATAAAGTAATAAAAGTTACAGCGTCTGATCATTTAGCTTTATGCTAATACTTGGTTGAATATTTGTTAGTTTATAATAACATATAAGAATTATTTTATTCACTATATAATTTGGTTCAATATTCGATATTGCAATACTCTATTTATAAAATTCCAATACTAAAAAAATTAAAAATGTATATCATATATATGTCATTCAAAAAATCATGATACAAAAAGTATCAATTTTTTTTAATCGATATGACAATTCAATATATATCGTATCAATATCATATCCATCCATAGCTTTGATTATACTATGGCTATGCATGTATCAAGTATGTATCACTATATCACAAATAAGGTTTAGCGGTGATTAATTAGTAATTGCTGTTAAATATGTATTTTTAACGGTAATTAGTATTCTTTGTGTATGTTCCTAAAGGCTTTAGCGACATTGAATCTAATGTCACTAAACTAATGACAGTAAAGATCTAATCACTCTTTGTTAATATGTCTATTTATTACCACTTAAAGTTGTTTTTTATTGTAGTATATGTGCCATTTATAAGTAGTTTATTTTGATGTTCTTTCATATTGCTTGAATATTTGTCCAGAATATAGTGTCCGCTCCTTGAATTATGATGCTCAAAGATTTAGCATGGAAGATTTCAATAAGATGAAGGCCAATTATTATTTTGTTATTGTCTCTCTTCAATAAGGTCAATTAAAAGATAACGTTTTAGCTCAAGTAGTGTAGTTTTATCTTTTATGTTGATGATACATCAATATTATAAATTACTACTTGATTTAGTGCATAAAATGTTTTAAGTAATATTTTAGTTAACAGTAGCATTCTTTTGTGGATGTTGTTTTAGTGCATAAAATGTAATTATAAATTAGATAAAGCTAAGGGAAAATTCAAATATACTATTAATTAACATTATAATATGAATATTCTACAATGATAGATTGTAATACATTTCAACTGTTTCTAACAATATGAAATTTGTAGTGACAATTAATTGGATTTAGCGCCAATAATTCTTTTTTGAAAGTTGTGGACATTCTTATTTTTTTGTTAGATTCAATAGCCATACAATTGTCGTTAAATAAGAGATTTCAGAAGAAATTTACCCGTCTTTTTAGTTGCCGTTAAATAATACATGTGACTTGTAGCAGACCCTAAAGGTTTTAGTGAAGGTAATTTCTACGGTCAAAATTCAATAGCTTTATATTAGCGGCAATATTTATTGCGGTTATAGACGATTTTATTGTCATTAACAACCATTTTTACCGTAGTTTATGAAAGTTTTTATAACAGCTGTCATAGTTGTTGCAACTACTTCATCAGAAAGTGTGAAATGAAACATATCCTCGCTATCGGTAAATGATCAATTGAAAATACAAATATTGGTTTAAAGTTTTTGGAGTGTTATTGATCAAGTATGAGTAAAAACAAGTAGAGAGTTCTCAATAATTTTTTTAGTCGAACACACATCTTTTTATCTATATTACTCTCTTTCTCTTCTATTGTTTGTACAACGTATTTCTTTTCAGCCTATATTGATAAACCATAGATGCTCTCATACACAAACTTTGATACTTGGGCGTATTTAGTTCATTCTATATTTTTTATTATATCAAAGGATATTTTAGACTTATAACTTAATATTTTCGCATTAAATATCGAAAGTTTCCAAATCAATTGGTTGGGGGTTTTGATTCACTAGCGAAAGATGGATAGATGTCATTATGACTAAATTTATGACTGACATAAAACTTTTTGGGTTAGAGCAATATAATTTGTAAGAATGAAAATGTGAATGTGCTAACAAGATTAGCTGGCAGTTTAATAAACTTACCATGATATTAATTCAAGATGGATATTTTACTTTCGTTTCATATTAATCAATCAAAATCTAAATAAGTCATTTTGGTGTAACACAATCTAAGTTTTTATAATACAAGAAAATAAATTTACGTTAGCAGTGCAGTTGACTTTTTGTAAATTAATTCAGTTATATTGTGATTTCGATTTCGATAAATTCAAGCGCATATCCCCATTGCTAGTGCTAGGGGGCATTGCATTCATTTCTACGGATTTTTAGATATTAAATGTGGTTGAGTTTAAATAATGACTGGTGTACTATATTCTTTTCGGTGTTTCTGATTGTGGAGTCATTTTTTTTAATTATTATTATTATTATTATTATTATTATTTGTATAGTTGATGGATATGTCAGGTGTTAGCAATTTTCCATCTTGGCCTTGTAAATCGTTGTGGCCATGTTGTTGGTCTAGATTTTGATATGGTAATATTTTGAGTTTTCCATTGTGTTTCTTTTGATTTGGGTTGGTCCTTTATGCCGGCCCCGATGTGCTTTGATTAATTGGTTTGGTTCTCTTTAGTCAAGTAAAGAACCCCAATACCAGTACCTGATTTTGAGGCATGACAAAAGTACCCAAAGTTGGAAGCAAATTATTTCATTATTCCAACACGTAAAGACGGTTTAAGTTAGAGTTTATACATAAACCTTGATATTTTTGCACTTTGCGAGTTCTACCAGGGTGTAATATATATAGACCAAAAAGAGTAGCCTGAATTTCAGCCTAGAAACAACGCTTCTTGGACGATTTTATGAATGAATATAAGATTGTGATTTATTATTTGAGTTGTTTAATAGATTTGCAGCAATAAATATCTTCTTATCAATTTACTCTGTCTCTATAGTTTGTACAATGTATTTCTTTTCAAACTGCTATGGTTCGTAAATCTTTGATGCGCGCTCTTGTTAACAGACTTCAATTTTTTGAGCGTATATAGTTCATTCCCTACTTTATATATATATATATATATATATATATATATATATATATAACCCTAAATTTGGCTTCAAAGTTTAACTTTGACCTTCAACTTTCATAGTGCACAAATAGCACTTTAACTATCCTACCTTTCAATAAATTAACACGCGATTTTTACAGTCAAGGAGCGTGAAAGGCAATCGCTCCAACGTGTATTAGTGAGCCAATCAATGACTGCCAACTAGTTAAATATTTTGCCCGTCAATTTTAGAATTAAAAAAAAACAAAATCAAAATTAATTTTAATTTATATATAGAAGAATCAAATTTAATTTTAATTTTAATTTATATACAAGAATCAAAATTAATTCCTCGTAATGGTTTTTAGAGCTTGGAGCTCATCGTTGACAGAGCTTAAAGGTTTGTTGATGGCTGGCTTCTTGGTTAGGTTTTTTGTGGTTGTTGAGTCTGTTTTCATGGGGTTTTGGGGTCATTTGGTTGCTGTTTTTGTGTCTGGTTCGACCTGCTGGTTGCAGCAGTGTTGTTTCGTGATGATTCTCGCCGGAGACAGTGGATTTGATGGGTTTGGAGTCGGGTATTTGGTGGTTTTAGCGAGCTCGAAGCTCGTTCGCTTCATGCGTTATGCTCCGGTGTGGAGGAAAAGGACAACGGCTGGGTAAAATGAATGGAGGTTTTGGATTGCCGGAGATTGGCTGGAATCCGGGGGTAAAATTGTCATTTCAACATTTTTTTACCACTGTGGGCATCAAAATTTACTCCTCATGCGCAGAATACGTGCATCTTACGCGCTTTGCTAGGTTGGACTCGCGTGTTTATTTATTGAAAGGTAGGATAGTTAAAGTGTCTATTTGTGCAATATGAAAGTTGGAAGTCAAAGTTAAAATTTGAAGTGAAGTTTAGGGTCAATATGTATTATACCTTTTTATTATATGACCATCAGAGGATTTTTTATGCTTATAAATTTTATTTTCGTATTAAATATTGGACTTTCCTTAATTAATTAATGGGGGTTTGAATTTATTAGCAAGTAGCGAGTTAAGGATAATTGTCATTATGACCTAATAAAGATTGGTCGGAATGAAAGTGTGAATTTGCTAATAAGCTTAGCTGTCAATTTAATAAACTTACCATGTATTAATTCAATATAAATATTTACTTGCCTTTCTTATTAGTCAAATTAAAACAATAATAAAATAAAATAAAATCTTTTTGGAGTAACCAAATCTAAGAAATTAATGAAGGAACTATATTTTGAAAAAAGAAGGTGTATATAACCACAAGTGAAAAAGGCAAAATGAGTACAAAACATGACTTCCAAGTCCTATTTCAAAATAGCCTTTATATTAGGCCTTATTTTTGTATGCACAAATGCTCAAGAAAAGGTCTTTAATGTCCATTCCTATGGTGCTAAAGCAGATGGGAGGACGGACAATAGTAAGGTAAGAACCTTTACTTTTTAAAGCGTTCTTAGTTATTATCGAATCCATACGAGTAAAAATGATAAAAGATCTACATTATAATTTCACTTACAAACTAGTTCGGCCCCTTTTTACTTGTCTAATTGGCTTGGAGCTCATTGAGAAACTAATTCCTTTAGTAAATTTTATTTAATTGTTTTTTGCACTCTTCATAAGAAAACATTAATCAAAAGTATAATTTAACTTGTCTTATAATTTTTTAAAAATATAAAGAAATGACGGATAAAAGATCGCAAAAGTTAATTGTGTCCATCTTTGAACATGTTGCTAGCTATAAAATCATTCCTTATTAGTAGATCTATTTCATTTAAGGCATTACATTACTACATGTATAGAAGAGTCTCATTTGCTAAGGTAAATGACACCCCATGGTAGAATACGAAGTTCCACATTGGCAAAAAATAATGTTATATAAGTAACTAGGTTTTGTAACATCATTAAAAAAAATGCTGGCCTAGGCCCAAAATAAACAACGTTACTAGTGAATTAAGTCATTACAAATGATATCAAATTCACTTTTTATGTTAGCTTTGTCGATGTGGACTATAGTTTAACTGTGTTTAAGAAAATCTTGATAAGAAGGAAAAAACTTCAGCGTTGAGTATAGGAAAATTTCATGTTGTTGGACAAACCTCAATCTTACTAATAGAATTCCTATATCGGCAAGCCAAAGGTTATATTGTAGGTATATAATTAAGCAACTAGTGATGCATTTTAAAGTCGTCCAGGCCTAAGCCCATATATCATTACAAGTTGCTAATGAAATAATAATCATTGTATATACGACAAATTAATTTATTGTCTAATTATGTCTTGTTTTATTTGTTTATTGTGGAAGGCATTTTTGAATGGTTGGAGGGATGTATGCAAATGGAATGGAAAAGCCACATTGTTGATACCTTTAGGGGAATATGTGGTAAATGGTGCAGTTTTTAAAGGACCATGCAATGGATGGGACAAGACCTTCGAAATGAGAGGAGTTATCAAAGCTCCAATAGATCCAAAGATATTCTGCAATGAGTATTGGATTCTTTTTAAGTATATAGATGGCTTAAAGATTAAAGGACATGGAACCTTTGATGGACAAGGGGCTTGTGCTTGGGGAAAACATCAATGTGCAATCCTTCCCTTTGTAAGTTTTAAATTTTTTTCAACTAAAATTATTTTTGATGAATTCCACTTTAACTATATTCTTATTAGTAATAAATGTTTGTTTGATTACGGATTATATGAAATGATGGAAAATATTTTATTTATATTCTCGTAAATTTTCAATTTTAAATTCAACTTCTCTCTATTTCTCTATAGATTTTTTTTTCTATATTTATCTCTGTAATTAAAAATAATTAGCAAAATCTATATTTGTAATAGTAACAAACAAAAATAAATTAGGACTAAAAAAATATATTTATATTTATATTTATATATGAATTAGGATTAGAATATACGTTTTCATATGAACTAGGACAAACAAATATATTTAACTAGACATTACTTTAATAAATCTCAAAAATAACAAATTCTAAACAATTTTGAATTATTATTCCATTAATAATGTCATCCCATAATTCAAAGTTGTTTATTCTTGCATTTTCAGTTCTCATTTATTTATCTTTTGATTGTGTTGAGCACCTTCTCTCCAACTTTCAATAGTTTAGAGCACTTACTCTCTAACTCACATTTTGTATTATTATTCCAACAACATTCAGATTTTGTATTTTAATACTAGTCACTAACTAAAATCAATTTGCTTTCATAATACGTTTATTTGGTTGTGCCCTAAATGTGTGATAAAAGTTATAGTTGAAAGTTTATCCAAGATTGTTTCTGATAATGGCTTGTTTTACATTTGAATCAGACAGTTGGATTCTATTTCATGAATAATTTTATTGTGCATGACATACATTCAATCAATAGCAAGGGTGTACACATCAACATCTTCAGTTGCAGTTATGGATATTTTAGGCATATTAAGATAAGTGCACCAGATGAAAGCCCTAACACTGACGGCATTCGTATAGGCAACTCAAACAACATCCGTATCGTGGATTCAAACATTGGTACCGGAGATGATTGTATAGCTATGGTAGCAGGTAGTCAAAGCATCAACATTACCAGAGTCACTTGTGGCCCTGGCCATGGAATAAGTATAGGTAGCTTAGGTAAACTAACTAACAATGATGTTGTGAAGGATATACACATCAAAAATTGCACCTTGATCAATACTCAGAATGGTGTGAGAATTAAGACTTGGGCATTATCGATGAATGGTATGGCTACAAATATAGCATTTGAGGATATTATCATGATAAAATCATCAAATCCTATAATAATTGATCAACAATATTGTCCAAGTGGTAATTGTAAAAAACAGGTACGTACACTTACATTTCTCTTCCATCTTTTAATTATAATTTTTATTATTAGTTAAGTTATGTTGAAGATTTGTGTTTTTAACATACACACATATATATAATATCAGGGGAGCTTAGTGCAAGTGAAGGACGTGACGTACAAAAACATAAGAGGATCTTCAAGTTCAAAAGTAGCAGTTATATTTAATTGTAGTGCTTCACGTCCTTGTAAAGGAATCATTTTTAAAGATATCGATTTGGTGTATAATGGTCCTGCAACATCATCATATTGTGAACACGCCATAGGAAAAGCTATCGGTATCCAATTGCCTCCAAGTTGTTTAATTTAAAAACCTCTCTTAATTAATTATTCATAAATACAAAATTTTTTCCTCCTCTAGATCTGTTGTTGCTTCTATTCATGATTGAGAGACATTTGTAGTGTGGTATTATTCAATGTGAACAAGTGCATTTTAGTGAAGAACTCAAAATTGAGTTTGCGCATTTTAGTGATTGTTGTTGGTTTAGTCGGAGGATTCACATGAATATATATACCAAGGTGATGATTATTGGTTTGTTTAATTAGTAATTGATTTGATGAACATGGACGGATTTACTACAATCAATAAGTTTAAATCAATGGTTTTGAGTATTTCCATATATTTGCATAATTGATTTATATGCATTGAGTTTGGCGTACCAAAACTAGGAATGTAACACAGCAGATATATTAAGGTGCTAGTGCAGGTTATTTTTGGTTTTCCCGAATGCAAGTGAAAGAGATTTGGGTCTGATCTACAGTGTTCGTGATTAGCTACGAGGCATCATTTGCAAAGGGTTGCGGAGTCTGTGACTATATTGAACGAAAATAATATAAATCTGAATATCAAAATCTTAAAATGTATAGTAAAATTGTTTTTACTTCAAAGAAATAACTCATTCATTTTTGTCGGGATGACAATGGTACAGGGCAAAAATAAGGCACGAAAAGGATTAAACAGGACAAGATAGGGCAGTACTTAAATGGAGTGTGGTAGGACGGAGCGGGTCAAAGCTAATAGTTTTAGAACTTAAAAAGGGCATGCAGGGCAAGGACGGGTTGTGTTAGGCCAAAGGCTCATTATTTCAGCTGAGCTTTGGCTGAAACCTAAAATAAAATAAAGAAAATTGATGAATCATACTTCTTATGTTTTTCTTATTTCCAATATTCACTTTTATTTCTAATAATCTCTGAAATTCTTTATTTATTTTTTAATGTATACAAGCTATATATTAATGTATCTGAGTCATATCAATGTGTCCAAGCTACATATTATATATTCAGTTTATTTTATAATGTATTCGAGTTAAATATTATGTATCCGAGCTAGTTTTTAATGTATCCAAGCTACATATTATGTATTCGATTTATGTTATAATGTATCCGAAATACTCTTTAATGTATCTGAACTACATATTATGTATATTGTTTGTGTTATTTTTTAAGAGATTCATGTAATTACAAAATAAAGAGTGATAAGATGATAATTTCATATTCAAACTATGGAACTTATATGTAAATATATAAAAAATAATGCAGAATTGAAGATTAACATTATAAATAATTGATCTCCTTTCATTTTCATATTTTATTAGATAAACTTGAACTTTGAAAATAATTAAGATGTAGATACAATAATGATTGAAAATGACCTACTATTAAAATGATTAAGTCACATATTTTATCAAAGTTTTTGCTTCTATTTTTCGCAGAAGAAATGCTAACAAATATATAGAACAAAATATATTGAATCCGTTTAACTTGAATAAAAATGCAGATACCGGAAGTTTTTTCTTTTTTTTTCCTTGTTGGTTGATTTTCTGAAGATAGAATCTTTTTGGGTGTGTTTGTGTGGGCGCAGAAAAATTTATTTCGGACAATTTAAATATTACAACATTTTAATGATAGATTTTTCTTTCATTGTTCTCATTTGCCATTAAGAACAAGTATAAAGAATAAATAGAACGTTTAAAAAGTGCAACTCTAAAAAGAACAGGGTGAGTTACGATCTTAACGGATCAAGGCTTGCCCCGCCCTAACCCAACTCAACCGCGCGCCTTATTGCCATTCCTACTTTCTGGTATGCACACGCATTGACTCTTGAATCGTTCCATCAACTGTATATGCGAACAAAATAATGTAGTGAGCACCTTTAAGTTATTTATGTGTAGAAAGTACAATGAGATTTACAAGGTGGAATCAATGACAAAATTATGCTGATGCGCAATTTCCACACTTTTTATGCTTATTAGTTTTTCACCGCTCTGATAAGTTGGTACTACTCTTTGTTATTGGAAAAGAAATTATTCTTCCATGTTGCTCCCTTCCTTTCAAAAAAGAAAATGTGTTTGTCTTCTTTTAATCTGTTGTATTAATCTTTGGAAATATTTTTCACCCAAAGGACAATTTGATATATTTATCATAATTTAATGAGATGAAGAAAATTTTTCTTTATTTTAAAAATTTCATATTAAGTCAAATTAGGTCATTATTTATAACAGAGGAGGTGAGTATAAAATTAGCCACAAGATAACAAAAAAGATTAGTACATAAATGTGCCCTTTAACTTGGCTTCAAATTACATTTATATCATTCAACTATGAATGTGCACAAATAGACACTTAAACTTGTATAAAGTTGAACAAATAAACACACATATCATTTTTTGTCCTACGTGGTGTTCTACGTGTATTGTGCCATGTAGGACTCATGTATTTATTTATTTAAAAGTTAGATAGTTAAAGTGTTTGTTTGTGCATCATGAAAGTTTGAGGTCAAAGTAAAATTTAAAGTCAAGTTTAGGGTCCAATATATGTATTATGCCATACATAAATATGTCCTTTAACTGGCTTCAAATCACATTTATGTCCTTCAACTTTAGATATGCACAAATAGACACTTACACTTGTATAAAGTTGAACAAATAGATACACATATTCTACATGTCATTTTTTTTCCTACGTGATGTCCTACATGTATTATGCCATGAAGAACTCGTGTGTTTATTTATTTAAAAGTTGGATAGTTAAAGTATCTGTCTGTGCATCATGAAAGTTCGAGGTCAAAGTTAAAATTTAAAGTCAAATTTAGGGTCCAATATATGTATTATGTCATATATAAATGTGTCATTTAACTTGGCTTCAAATCACATTTATGCCCTTCAACTTTAATTGTGAACAAATACATACTTAAACTTATATAAAATTGAACAAATACTCATGTCCTACATATCATCCTACATGTCATTTTTTGTCCTACGTAGTATCCTACATGTATTACGCCATGTAGGACTCATGTGTTTATTTATTTAAAAGTTAGATTGTTAAAGTGTCTGTGCATCATGAAAGTTCGAGGTCAAAGTAAAATTTGAATTCAAGTTTAGGGTCCAATATATGTATTATGCCATACATAAATATGTCCTTTAACTGGCTTCAAATCACATTTATGCCCTTCAACTTTGAATGGCATTTAATAGATAGACATTTACACTTATATAAAGTTGAACAAATAAATACATGTCCTACATGTCCTTTTTTTTCTACGTGGTGTCCTACATGTATTGTGTAATGAAGGACTCATGTGTTTATTTATTTAAAAGTTGGATAGTTAAAGTATCTGTTTGTGCATCATGAAAGTTTGAGATCAAAGTCAAAATTTAAAGTCAAATTTAAGATCTAATATATGTAATATGTCATATATAAATATGTCCTTTAACTTCTTCAACTTTAAATGTGAACAAGTATATACTAACTTATATAAAATTGAACAAATACACATGTCCTACATATCATCTTACATGTCATTTTTTGTCCTACGTAATATCCTACATGTATTACGTCATTTAGGATTCATATGTTTATTTATTTAAAAATTGAATAGTTAAAGTGTCTATTGTGCATTATTAAAGTTGAGAGATCAAAATTAAAATTTGAAACTAAGTTTAGAATCGAATATATATATATATATATATATATATATATATATATATATTATGCCTAACAAAAAAGTAAATGACTATGCCTCTTCCAATACTAGAATCAATATTTAAAAAAGTTGGCTTCACTAGGATAGACAGTACAAAAAAGTTTTAGATAGACAACTGAAAATGACTACTACTATAGTCTGCTAAGGTTTTTTGAAGTATTGAGTAGATGTAAATTAAAGTCCAGCAAAACCATCAAATTTTCTTACTGTCTACGTTCTTATGAGAGTGGCTATTTATCTCCTTCAACTCAGATTTATACTTTTCTAGTTGTGTCAATAGGTTCCTTTCTGAATAATTCATCGTCTCCTCAAACTTGCGCACTTTCTTCTCCAGCTTCCGCTTCCTGTAAATAACACGCATGGCTATGAAATCTTAAGAACATCTGCATAATTAAATGCATCCAATTAAGTTAAGATACCTTCGTACTATCAGAAATAATTTTAAGTATATTAACAATTGTTATACTGTTAATACAAAATTCAGACAGACACGTATATAACAGCAAGCATCAAATTATGAGGTGAACAAACCTTGTGAGTTTAACTTCAACCCGCTATCAGGAACATCGACAGACATATCATATACCCAGCGCGGGCAGCAATAAAGCGGTCTCTTTCATGACTTGGGGGTCTGAAAGGCTCAACAATATTTTCGTATGACGAATATATTGCTTAACAAATAGAAATAAAGAGATTATAGAGCTTGATGTAAATAAACATGTGTCGATGTTAAGAAGTTTGAGGGGCTTAAAAAGAGATTCTTAGGAAGGCGCAGCCATTGCCTAGGTGCTGATGATGGGTTATCTGCCATAAATAAGGGTTTTGGTAAACTAACAAAGAAATAAGATGAAAATGGAGTTGTATGGAATACAGTAGCGTCTAATTTATACAAAAATTTAACAACACTCAACTGTCCTTTTGGAAAGTAATTAATTACTCATGCTTTGAAAAAGCCACATTATTTCTTGAATACCGGAACAGTCATTTTGGAAACTACCACCTACTATAAGGATTTTTATATTATCAATACAATTTAACTCACATGGCTTAACTACGTTCAACTCCAATGGGAATGTATGTATGGACTTGATTTCTAATTTAAATTAAGGCTTAAGTCATCTATGGCCACTTAAAGTTGTCTATATATTTCACTTAAACACCTCAACATGTCCATTTTTCTATTAGACACTTCAACCTTACAAAATAAATACCTATCAAACATTTTCTGACACCTAATTAAAAAATGAAGTGTGTGCAACACACACGCAGTTGATGTGGCAAAATAACAAATTAAATTAGGACATGTGGCATTTTAGTTTAATTATCTTAAATAAATGAAATTAAAATACCAAAAAATCTAAATAAAAAAAAAAGAGTTTCAACCAGAAAAAAAAAAAGAAAAATCCACCTCACCCCACCCACCCCAAACCTCCCCTTCTTCTCTTTCCCTTAAAGATAACCCTTTCCACCATTGTTGTTGTTCATCTAAAAAAAAAGTGGAGATTTTAACAAATACTAACTAAGAATTTTTTATTTTTGTTTCTCTTTATCCCGTCTTTTGTTCCTATTTGGAATTGATATTGTTATTTTTTTACAAAAAATACGTTATAATTAATTTTGTTTTCGAATTTTGTTTCTACTTTGTTGTGGAAGAAGAAGGGGTTTTGTATGCGTCTCCATTTTTTCTAGTAAGGAGGTGTGGATGATAGCCTTCGTTTTTCCCAGAAAAAAAAATATGGTTGGTGGTATCCATTTTTTCCGACAAAAAAGATGTCAAGATATAATTTTAAATCTGAAAAATTAAAACAATGACAAGAAGAAATATGATAAAACAAACATATTAATGTTTGAAATGTAAGGAATAAAGTGATGTTTGGATTTATTATTGCCTTGGAATTCTTATGTTAATGGTGGATTGTTATGAAGAAATAGGAGCATGGGTGGTATTATTTTGAAAAGAAGGATTTGAAAAGATTGTTATTTTTTTAAAAAAAAATAATGAGAAAAAAAGTTTGAAAATTTATGATTAAATGATTCACGCGCTTATTAAGGCGTGAATCTCACTTTTTTGCCACATGTACACAACATGTTTAAATGGTTCAAATTCAGAACAGTCCAGGTGTTCAATAGGTATAAGTCCTAGTTTAAGTGTTTAAATGAAATATGTGGACAACTTTAAGGGGCCGTCTATGATTGTCCTCTATATTAAAATAATTATCCAATAATACTTGTCCAATTTTAAAAAATTAAGAGATAATCATTTTTATTTTATTTATGGCACAAATATTATGTATTTTTTTTTCAAAGCATACTTTACGCATTAAATTCTCCTTGTCTCCTAGTTGACATGATAGTTGTAATGATTCAAACGGTCATTTTTGCAATTTTTTTGTAAAATTATTGTTTTACTTCTCCTGAAATTGGTCCCAAGTCATTTTTCAATGAATTTGGAAATTGATTTCGAGTTTTGAATTGAAGATTGAGAATTTTGATATTTAAAAGGCTAAAGTCGTTAGAAATGGTTATCCGAATCCTTTAGACTTTTGAGTGAATGACTAGAATTTCATCGATTTCATCAATCCCCAAATGTGGAAATTGGTATATGAGGCGTCGTGCCTCGAGGATCCCTCCCCTTCTCTCCTAGAGACGTCGTGCCCTGAGGACCCCTTTTCCCTCCTCGAGGCGTCATGCCCCATGGAACTCCCCCACTCCCTCTCGGGGCGTCGTGCCCCGAGGTTCCCCTTCCCTCCCCCCCTCCTCGAGGACTCCCTGCCCTCTCCCTTCCCCTCTTTGGGGCATCGTGCCCTTAGGGACCCCCATCTCCCTCTTCGAGACGCCGTGCCTTTAGGGCCCCCCTTCCCTCTCCTCCTTCCTTGAGGAGTCGTACCCCCATGACACCCGCCCTTTCACCCTTCTCCCTCCTCGAGGCGTCGTTCCCCGAGGGGCACCCTCCCACCCAACCCCTCATGGAGGTGTCGTGCCTTGACGACCCCCATTTTCGATGCGCCATGCCTGAGGGGGGCCCTCCTCGAGGCGCCTTGCCCCGAGGACCCCTCCCCCTCTCCCTTCTCGAGGCCCCCCTACCACTGTCTCTCTTCTCGAAGCATCATGCCTCGAGGACCCCCTCCCCCTGCTCGAGGCTTCGTGCCCCGAGGCCCCCCCTCCCGTTCTTGGAGGCGCCGTGCATTGAGGGTCCCCTTCCCCAAGGTGTTGTGCCCCGAGGGCCCTTCTCCCTCTCGCCTCATTTCGAGGCACCCCCATATCCCCCCTCCCTCCTCGCTTTCTCGACTCGGCGTACCTCGACGGACCTACTTCCCCAAGGCACCAGGTTCGATGGCCCCCCTTTCCCTCCTCGAGCCTTTGTGCCCCGAGTTCCCCCACCCCCACCCCTCCCAGATGCACTATGCCTCGAGGCGCACCTCCCTCCCTCCTTCTCCCATTCTTGAGGTGTCGTGTCTCGACAGCCCCCTTCCCCCTATTCGAGGTGTCGTTCCTCGAGGACCCCCCCCCCCATCCCTCTCCTCGAGGCGTCGTGCCATGAGGACCCCCCTTTTCCTTTCCCAAGGTGCTGTGACCTGAGTTCCTCCTCTCCCCTCCTCGAGGCGATGTGCCCCGAGGACCTTCCCCCCATCCCCTCCTCAAGGTTTCGTGCCCCGAGGACCCATCCTTCTCCTCAAGGCGCCGTGCCCTGAGGGCCTCCCCCTCATCGAGACTCTGTGCCTCGAGCACCCTCCCTTTTCGAGATGTTGTGCACCGAGGACCCTCCCTTCTTCTTTTTTCGAGGCGTCGTACCCCGAGGATCCATCCCCCTTCCTCAGACCCTCCCCCCACTCCTCGCTCGACTTAGAAGCGTCATACGCTGAGGCGAGGTGCATCTCATATTATGGTCAATATTATAATATGGTTTTGTCTATTTAAATGTTTCCATTTTGTTTCAAAGTCTTTTAGCTTGGAGTAATTTCATTATTTTTATAGTAAAACTGAATCAAAGCTTATTCCTAGAATTCTTTATCAAAAGAGAATTATAGAAGTGGGTCGTGGGGTCAGCTGTGGAGGAAGGCAAAGTTCACTGGGATAGTTATTTGAAAACGGTGAGGCGCCAAAACCAACCACGGGAAATTCCCAGTTGTTCAATATAAAGGGCAGACATTAAGTAAGGAGCCATCTGCAAAGCCTACCATGTCTGCTACAGTTGATGCTACTGAGCAGATTCTTGCTGGTACTCAGAGCAATGCTTCGAGAAACCATTTCGGGGGAAATCGTCAAAGCACAGGCAACTTTATCACGGAGGGTCATATCCAAAGTCCATGCTGCTCCTAGAGGTGGATCTTCTATGGGTTATCTTTTCGGTGGCGACTGTTGACAACGTCGCAGTGAGTCAAATTTAAAAGAAATAGTTAAAAGAATTTTAAAACGGATAAAAGGGAAAAGGGTTAAAGGGGTTTAAAGGGAAAAGGGAGTCGCCACCTAATTTTTTTTAGGAAAACTAGGAAACCTATTAATAAATTAACATAAAAGAATGTCTAGGAAACCAATTGATACTAGGTAAGGGGGTTAAAATTATTTTGAACGGAAGGGGTTAGACACCCTTCGAAATACATAAGTGTGGATCCCGACTGAATTCATTTTTTCAAATTGAGGAGGAGATGATAATAATATACAAGTAATATAAAAATATAATATACAAAAGTAATGAAAAAAATAATAACATAATAAACGACCTAAGGTTGCCTAAACATCATTTTTTACATAATAATGAATAAAAATGTAATTCGAGCTCTTCGAATAGCGTCAATGGGAAGCAACTCTATGTACATGTAAAGACACTTAGTAAAAGTGTTAGTAATATATAAATAGGATTAAAAATGAATAAATCAAATAATAACTTAAAAATCAAAAACTCGTCTTATTAACATGAGAGGCTTTGAAAATCGAAGGTAATTTCTTCATCGACCAAATTTAACATATAAAATATATAAAGTTAAACCAAAATTCCGTCTTTTTAAAATGGGAAGGCCACCAAAACCGACGGAGATATTTTCTCATTGACGTAACACATGAAATATATAAACTTAATTTGAAATTCCGTCTTTTTTTTTTAAAAAAAAAGGGAAGGCCTCCAAAATCGACGGAGAGATTTTCTCTTTAGCCAATTTTAACATATGAAATATATAAACTTAAATTCCATCTTTTTTTAAATGAGAAAACCTCCAAAACCGACGGAGAGATTTTCTCATTGGCCAATTTTAACATATGAAATATATGAACTTAAATTAAAATTTCGTCTTTTTTAAAATAGGAAGACCTCCATAATTGACGGAGAGATTTTTTCATTGGTCATCTTTAATTTGTACACGATTTAACTTGAACATAATAAATAAAAATTAAAAGAAAAAGAAAACGAACGAGCAATATTCCGGAATAAATCCCAAGATCAAAACATGAACTATGAGAAACATAAAAGTCAATCAAAATTAATGAATTAACTAAAATTAGCTTTAAAAACAAACAAAAAAAAAAACAATGTCAAGAATCAATCAGTAATGAGTGTAGCTAGAGAACACAATTAATTATTAGAAAACAACAAAAATAAGTTCAAAAATATGATGTTCACCAAAACAGTAATAATTCTTGGTTAAATAAATATTATTGATAATAGAGATGATCAATTAAATTAATCAATGAATTCCAACATTAATCAAATACTTCACAACTTTGATGATATAAAATAAAATAAATAAATAAAAAAACACAACCATTAATGAACAAATGAGAACTATCAAATCTACTTAACAAATAACATAATAGAAACTTAGTATAATGACAAAATAAATCATTGCCAAAGAGGTGTCAACAATAAAATTAGATATCTAAAAGTATTCACCAATAATAATACATAAAAAATGAAAAGAAAAAGGGTAACAAGTGGTTAGTATTTTCTGACCAAATCTAAAAGTTTCACCACGGCTAAGAGTAGAGTTCGGGTTGTTATGCCGCCGGAGTTCGGAGGGATACCTACAAAACAAGCAAAAATCTGAAGAGGGAAAGGGGAAAGGAAACTGGTCTGAGTGCTCCGGTTCATTGGAGCTCCTCGCTCCTCGCCGGTGGCCATAGAGTTGCTGGAAAAAAGAGTAAAAATATTTTTTTTAGTGGCTTGAAACTGGTCTGTCGGAAACAATTAAAAAAAAAAAGGAAAAGGGGTTTTGTGTTGTTTGGCTGGCTGGCGTGGGGTTTTGGTGGTTGTTTCATGATGTATTTGGGGGTCGAAACAGTGGAGGGAATGGGTAGTTTTCTGGTGGTGTTGGCTGGAAAACATAGTGGGTTTCACCGGAGATGGTGCTCCGTTTAGCTGCTGGCCAGTGAAGCTGTTATCAGGCAGGTTTGGGATGGTGATTGGGTCTGGCTGCTGCTAGCAAAGAGGAGAATAAAAATGGGGTTTTGGAGGTGGCTGGAAAAGATGTTGTTGCGATCTAGTTTTGTTGGTTTTGGGTGTTGTTTTGGCCGGAAGAAGGGAGGAGAAACGGATAGTGATAACTAGCTGTTGTTTGGAGAAATACATCGTGAGGTTTTACCGGAAAATTGGGGAAGAGAGATGAAGGTAGAAGTGGTTCTGGTTGGCGGAGCTTTACCGAAAATATGGATTGTGTTTGGAGAAACACATGGTGAGGTCTCACCGGAAAATTGGGGAAGAGGGATGAAGGTTGAAGTGGTTCTGGTTGCCGGGTGAATGGCCGGAGCTTCACTGAAAAATATGGATTGTTCTAGCTAATTTTGTGATGGTCAATGATAGATATAAAAATATGAAAATACATAATTTTACACCCCTTTAACCTAATGAGTAAATATTTCTTTAAATAAGAGTTGTTAAAAATTGGCCTAAGTTATGGGCTTGAGATCGTGCTCCAAAAAACCGTTAGATTGATAAAATATCTGTGTATGCAAATTGTATTCGAATTTGAATAAATTTTTGAACTGCGTAGAATATGAAAATGAATATTAAAAATGTAACAAGTAAAATGAATATGAAAATTTTAGTGAACGTAATCAATTACATGTAAAAATGCAATTTAACAGAAATAATAATTTTATAAAAAATGAACAAATATTTGAACGTCTAGCTGTGACAAAATAATATAAACATACCGATAAAAATCACAATACTTGGAGACAAAGTATGATTATCTACAAATTGCATTAAAATGACAAAACATGTATTTTGAACTATTTAAAATAAAATATTTAAGAAATATTAATTTTAAAATTATTAGATCAAAATTTGATGTCAACAACTTGCCCATTTGTTTGATTAGGATAGATGAAAGAAATCCTGGTCAAACAAAGTTGACAAACCCAATTTTGATTTGATAAACTTTGAAGAAAATAATTAACACGTTAGTAGAACTTTTGAGCTAGACTCTACGTCAGCCGACTGCGCTGAAAATGATAAACAAAAGACAGAGATTAATTATAAGTTGAGAACATTAACATACCTTCGATGTTACCTACAAAATTGCACAATAAAAGTGGTGTACCTTTTGAAAGTAGGATGACGTGAATAACATATCAGTTTGAACGAGGTGACAACCCAACACGTCTCTTTGAAAGGCGGACGACCCAACTTGAATATAACATGTCACTTTGAACGAGGTAACAACCCAACATGTCATTCTGAAAGGCGGATGACCCAACTTGAATATATCATGTCACTTTGAACGAGGTGACAACCCAACATGTCTCTTTGAAAGAGGGACGACCCAACTTGAATATAACATGTCACTTTGAACGAGGTGACAACCCAACATGTCTCTTTGAACGAGGTGACAACCCAATGTGTTTCTTTGAAAGGCGGACGACCCAACTTGAACTTAACATATCACTTGAATGGAGGTGACAACCTAATGTGTCTCTTTGAAAGATACACAACCCAACTTGAACATAACGTGCCACTTTGAACGAGGTGGCAACCCAACGTGTCTCTTTGAAAGGCGGACAACCTAACTTGAACATAACATGTCACTTGAATGGAAGTGACAACCTATCGTGTCTCTTTGAAAGGTGGAAGACCCAACCTGAATATAACAAATCACTTTGAATGAGGTTACAACCCAACACGTCCCTTTGAAAGGCGGACAATTCAATTTGAATATAAAATGTCACTTTGAATGAGGTGACAACCCAACATGTCTCTTTGAAAGGCAGGCGATCCAATTTGAACATAACATGTCATTTGAAGGGAGATGACAACCCAATTTTGAACTTAACGTGTCATTTAAATGGAGATGACAGTCCAATCTTGAACTTAACGTGTCATTTGAAGGGACATGACAACTCAATCATGAACTTAACGTGTCATTTGAAGGGAAATGACAATCCAATCTTGAACTTAACATGTCATTTGAAGGGAGATGACAACTCAATCTTGAACTTAACGTGACATTGAAAGGGAGATGACAAACTAATCTCAACCTTAATGTGTCATTTGAAGGGAGATGATACTCCAATCGTGAACTTAACGTGCCATTTTAAGGGAGATGAAAACCCAATCTTTAAGTTAATATGAATGGTGTATCACAAAATCTGCATAACAATGTTAGTAGCAAATATAATATAAAAGCAATATAAAATATGCAATCCTGGTCTCATATGAACAAGATAATTAACTGATGGGGCAATTTGAACTTAATTAATAACATTATGAATTTTTTAAAGCAATTTGAAACTGGATAACAAATAAAAAGTGTCATATTGAACGACATGACAAACCAATTTCAAGAGAATTACTTTATTTGAAAAAATTAATTCATTTCTAAAAGATATCATTTTGAAGGTATTTAGACCTAAATTTTAAAAAAATGTCATTTTGAAGGGTATGACTATCCAAATTTAAGAAAATTTCATTTTGAAGAGTATGACGATCCAAATTTTTTAAAAAATAATGTCATTTTGAAGGGCATGCAACCCCAAAAAAAAAGATGTCATTTTGAAGGATATGAAGACCCAAAATAAAAAGATGTCATTTTGAAGGATATAACGACCCATAAACAAAAAGTTGTCATTTTGAAGGATATGATGACCCCAAAAAAAAATTAACTTTGAAATGATCCACAAAGTTACTTGGACATGTATGATGAAATCAATTTAAAATGGTGTCCATTTGAAAGGTATGATGACCAAAAATTAAAAGACATCATGACTACCAAAAAATAAAAATGTTATCATTTTAAAGGGTATGACTACCGAAAAATGTGATTTGCACTTTGAAACGGTCCACAAAGTTATTTGGACAAATATCAACAATAAAACGGCCCACAAAGTTGGTATGGACAAATATGAATGTGGGTGTCAATCCATTTTTAATTTTTGAACAACAAAACATATTTTAACTTGGTTAGCACCAACAATTAGTATGGTACAAAATTTCTCATAATTGTTTCTCTTTAAATCGAGATTGATTTCGAGATAATTCATATGGATTCAAGTGGCACCTCAAATGTACTTAAGTGATAACAAGATTTGTTCATCTTGCTTCAAACAAAATCTTTGGACTAGACGTAACATCATGTTTCAAGTGCCCTCACAAGAAAGAAAGTTTCAATTTGCACACATTTAAAGTGTTTTGATTCGAGAACATCTGAAAAAGCACACTCACACTCAAAATTAAATGTTCAGCGCATGCAATTGTAATACCATATGCTTGACCTTCATGTAAATCTCCACTAATATGAGAACATTTGAATTGAAATCATATTAGGCTTGTTAATAACTTGTAATGTAGGATTAGGGATGGGTAAGATAGTTATTTAGGATAAAAGTGACTAAAACCCTTTCTTGACCTTTGTTCTAAATTGGTGCTCTCAACATTTGTTACACTTTTAGCGTTCGATTCTCTTTGTTGTCCCTTCCTTTGCACTTTTGACTTTGAGAAACTTTATTTATTTGAGTTTTCCCCTTTTGAATTTTCTTTTTTTTTGTTTGGATTTTTTTTCTTTCTTTCTTGAGATTCTTCTTGCTTAAACTTGTGGGGAAGTTTGAACTTTTCTCCTTTTTTATTTTTCCTTTCTTTTGAAGTCATTTTTGTTTTCTTGACATTCAGGGACTTCGATAACTTTTGTCTTTGACAAATTAACTTTGGATTTCCTTTGTAACTTGCACGTCTTCATTGCACTCAAGAAAGTCAGGTCAAAAGAGGATTAGTGTGCGTCTAAGCACTCAGAAGAGGTGTGGACTAAAATATGGTTGTCCGAAGAAAAGACATAAGACTAAAAGTGACACACTAAGGATTAATGTCATTTGATGGGCTTTGAAAGGCTCAAACGGGTCAAAGAAGGCCTACAATCATTTTTAAAATCAAATATTACTCAGAATATTGCCTCAATAACATTTAGGCCAAGTCCTAGATCAACAATGTAAAATAATTAAATTTAATTCAAAACTCACCACACATTGCACGTGAAACAATGAATTTGATTTTGTTCTAATCTTGAATGTATGGAAGAGAATATTTTAAAGTGTAACAAAAGTATGAACGAGAGGTACCAAAAGAATCTATGGTTTAACAAGAAGTCTATTTTACAAATTATTTTTTCATAGGCACACTTGAACTGTGTTGGCACCAACTAAGTCAAAAATAATTTTAAAAATAAAAATTAGAACAAAAAATTTTAAAAAAATCTTTTGAATAAAGAATACCGAACCCAATAATGTCTTCCTACGTATTTCATTAATGAGAATCAGGTTTGCATAGTTCTTCCAGATATGACATAAAACTTATATTTTAACAAATAAATTTTTGGAAGAAAAAATAATAGGAATGAAAAACCAATGAACTACATTGAAAGGAGGGCAACCAAATTTAACAAAAAATATTATAAATTATTTAATGAAAACTTAACAAGAATGAAGAAATCAGAGAACCACATTGAAGGACGGACCACCTAAATTTAACAAAAAAGTAACAAAAATGAGATATGAAATTATGAGTCACATTGAAGAGCGAACTACCCAAACTTAACAAAAAAATAATTTTTATCAATTTAAGAAAAAATAACAAAAGTAAAAAATGAATGAGTCACATCGATGGGCGGACAACCCAACTTAAAAAAAGGTCAATTAAATAAATATTTTTAATGAAATAAGATAAACAAAAATCAAAGATATACAATGAATGTGACATCACATACAAAAAATTAATGCAAAATATATAAACCAAATCGGAGTGAAGCCTCATAAATTCTGGAGTCTGTGTATAACCTTGGTGAAATTTTTTAGGACATTCCAAAAAAAATTCCCCTATTCCACCTTCAACACCCTCCGATATTTAATATTGAAACAACTAACTCCTTTGTAAAACTTTTGGAGACCTCCTAAAAAAAAATTCCCTAGTTTCCGTCTTGAAATAATGGAAAGCTTATGGGGAACATGACCGAGCCCTTATGGTGCGAATGTATCCCGTAAAAATAGGAATCAGGTCAAACGTAGTTCCAACAGAGTGTAACTTAAATGGAGAATGAACTGAGGTTATGAATATTCCAAAACTAGATGACCAAGAGTGGGTTTTGAAAGAACGGAAACCTAAGCGGACAACTTAGGCTGGAACTCACAACAATCATTGGACGCATGACGAACTAATAAATTGTCGATCATTTCGAAAAAGGGTTGAGGATAAAAAAAGTTTAGATGCGGTTCCGCAAGACCATTCTTTAATACACTGTATTTATATCAGAAATATATCATGGATGCAACAACATTGCACAAAAAATAACGAGTATAATATGAAAATAATCAATAAAATATACAAAATCTAATGAATAAAACAATTAAAGTTTGAAAAAATAAACCATAATGGTTAGAACCTCTATATCTCCAGCGGAGTCACCATTCTTTTGACATCCTTTAAATTGGAGCAACGTCGCGGTGAGTCAATTCTAAAAATATTAGTTAAAAGAATTTAAAACGAGTAAAAGGGAAATAAAGGGGTTTAAAGGGAAAAGAGAGTCGCCACTTAATTTTTTTTAGAAAAACTAAGAAACCAATTAATAAATTAACTTTAAAAAAATGTCTACGAAATCAATTGATACTAGGTAAGGGGTTCAAATTATTTCAAAGGAAAGGGGTTTGACACCCTTCGAAATATACAAGTGTGGATCCCGTCTGAATTCATTTTTTTCAAATTGAGGAGAAGATAATAATAATATACAAGTAATATAAAAATGCAATAAAAGTAATAAAATAAAATAATAACATAAGAAATGACCTAAGATTGCCTAAACATCAATATTTGCATAATAATGAATAAAAATACAATTCGAGCTCTTCAAATAGCGTCAATGGGAAGCAACTCTGTAGTAAAAGTGTTAATACTATATAAATATGAATAAAAATGAATAAATCAAATAATAACTTACAAATCCAAAACCGGTCTTATTAACATGAGAGGCCTTGAAAATCGATGATAATTTCTTCATCGACCAAATTTAACATATAAAATATATAAAGTTAAACCAAAATTTTGTCTTTGTAAAATGGGAAGGCCACCAAAATCGATGGAGAGATTTTCTCATTGACCAATTTTAACATATAAAATATATAAACTTAATATCCAATTCTATCTTTTTTTTAAAAAAATGGGAATAAGGGAGGAGAAACAGGTAGTGATAACTAGATGTTGTTTGAAGAAACACATGGTGAGGCTTCACTAGAAAAATGGGGAAGAGGGATGACGGTGGAAGTGATTCTGGTTGGCCGGAGCTTCACCGGAAAATATGGATTGTTCTAGCTAATTTTCTGGTGGTGGTGGACCAGATGATAAATAAAAAAAACCTGAAAATACATAATTTTTTACACCCCTTTAACCTAATGAGCAAATCTTTCTTTAAATAGGAGTTGTTAAAAAAATGGGTCTAAGTGATGGGCTTGAGATCGTGGCCTAAAAAATTGTTACATTGATAAAATAGATGTGTATGCAAATTGTATTCGAATTTGAATAAATTTTTGAATTGCGTAGAATATCAAAATGAATATTAAAAATGTAACAGGTAAAATGAATATGAAAAATTTAGTGAAAGTAATCAATGACATGTAAAAAATGCAATTTAACAGAAATAATGATTTTATAAAAAATGAACATATATTTGAAAGTCTGGCTGTGACAAAATAATATAAACATAACAACCAATAAAAATCCTAATAATTTGAGAAAAGGACGATTATCTACAAATTGCATTAAAATGACAAAACATGTATTTTGAATTAAATAAAACACTCAAGAAATATTAATTTTAAAACTATCAGACCAAAATTTGATGTCAACAGCGGCAGCAACTAAGCAATCTTTTAATATACAGTTGGATAATTGTTTTATCACATCTTTACATTTTGTGTTACTAAACTATGTTGTAATTGTAATTGTGAGTACTTCTAGTTGTTGTGAAGGGTTAGTTGTATAAGGCTTTGATCCAAAGTCCCAGTTGACACCCATGAAACTAAAGTTACTTTTAATATAAAATGCCACCTTTGTTAATTGATCATTTGACTAAATAACTTTTCTTGCCTAAAAAAAATAGATGTAAGGGGGCTAAAATCTATAGAATTTATAAATTTACAAGTATTTTAGGATAATGTGTAACACATTTCTAGAACTTATTCTACAATAGACGGGAGGAAGAAAGGAAGCAGTAGACAAACAAGTAGAACTTAAAGAGGCTTAAACAAACAACTTCGAGAATATTTGTGCTTCTAGAATTCAATTACTTACAACTGACAGGAAAATCAATTGCAATCACCAACAACCATGAATCAAGAATTTATATACTTTAATTAGCTAAGATGCGTGTACGAAAATTATCAAATTTGCATACAAAGATTATATAGAAGTTAGCAGTCAAGAATTGACTCAGCCATGGTAAGACAAGCGCAACAATTTTTGGATAGGAAGGATCAATTTAATCTAGCAGAAAATGCCTTACAGTGGGTGGATTGCATTGAACTTTAAGGTAGATGGAACAAAGTTCCCATAAGACAACATATAAAGGAAAAATATCATGCAAGGTTCTGTAGGAAATGAACAAACAATACTACATGTTGGTAACATAAATAATTTTTCACAGAATTTCCGCAATTTCAGTTGCTCAATGGCAACTGCCTATATCAAAAGCAGTAAGAAAGAAAATGACAGTGTGAGACACAGAAATACATGATGTGCCAAGAATTTAAATTTTTTTTACCTCCCATATTTACTTAACTCACGCTCCAGATCATGTGAACTGTTCCGTGAAGACAGGTTTTCCACATAGAGGCGAGTGCTACTTCCCATCCGATCATCGTAACTAGGCATCTTCATAGCAAGATTCTACATGTACAGAACAAAAATAATATAATTTTATAAGTCAATCCGTTCACAAACATTATTAATCAGCAACCTTGTGTCATTTGATTACAACCTTCAACCGTAACAATCTAATATAAATGAATGGAACTAATACGTAATTATGATTAATCAACAATTATCTTCCCTGAGGCAAAGACCTAAGTTTACTATATTAAGGCTATTAGAAGGCAGACAAAACAAGTAAAATTATTACCAACCAAACTTGAAACTCAAATAATAATTATTTAACCTACTAACTAATCACTGTGTAGTCTTAAACAATTATTGTTAATCAAGATAAGCTCATTATTACAATATGAGAAATTAATTGTTTTTACTATTACAAGGTATCTGCCAGGATGAAGAGCCAAATATACTAGCAAAAAAAGAAAAGAAATAGATAAATAGAAAGAGACGATGAAATGTACTAATTCATTCACCATGTCGTTATATTGATTTCAGTTTCAGTTATTGCATTGCCTCCTAAACGTCAAAATGCATGAACCAGGCTTACTAAGTAATCTTTAGACAAGAAAAAGTCGTTGCATATAATGAACATATTGTGTTCTTACCATCTAGATAAAGACGTATGTGTAGAATAAAATGTTTGAATAATTCAGTAACTTCAGCGCATCAAATCCCAATGGATAAAAGCCTACAGTGTTCACAATTACTCTTATCCTCTTTCCCCAGTTTCTCCAACTTCTTTATATTACCCATATGACACAATATTCTTAACATTTTGATGAAGATAAATACCCAAGATGTAAGTATCTACGACACTCTATCAGGAAGTTTTTGAAAAATCCCAAGTATCATCGAATTTTCATATAACAAATCATAAAAAAAAGGCCTTACCTCAAGAACATTAACTTGTTCCACCCACTGTGACTACACTAAATAGCACAAAATCACCCACCTCTCCAAGTTTCTACATTCTTCGACTCTCACCCCAGATAACGAATTATCAAAAATGCTCACCTCTTTAGGTTTCTACTCAAATAGTACATTCACTCTTTTCTCTAAGGTACAATCTATACAAAAAAAAGACATATTTTTTTGGAAAAAGAAAATAAACTGAATGAACCAACCAACATATCCAGCAACATGACGTGTATGTAGTCTTACTCCTATCCTGAACTGTGAAGGTAGAAAGACTATCTTCAAAAGTGCTTGGATTGAAGAAACAACAAAGAGAACAAACCACGTGTAATCCCACAAGTTGATCAAGTGATGTTGATTTTTAAGCAGCCTTACCCCTACCCTATGAAGGTAGAGAGGTCGTTTTCGATTACCCGTCACACCAAATTTTCCTCATCAAAAGAACTTTAAATAAAACAGATAAAGGAGAAGAAAATGTTATCAAGATTTTGAGGAAGGTGCTGAAGTAGGACGTGGTTCATCAAGAACTGAAATAACAATGAAATAGAGCACTTCAATTTTTGCAAATAAGATTAAACTCATCAAAAACCTCAACACTTGAATTTTTTTTCAAATTAAAAGGAACTCAAATCAGCTTCTTTTTCTGTGCGATTCTGAATACAGAAAGAGAGATAAGATAGAAACTTAGGGAGAGATTCTAGAACAGAAGGACTGAACCATGAAGAAAACTTTAATCAAACAGATAACAGACAATCGCAAAGAAATTTTGAGGAGAATCGAAATCACAATGAAATTGAACACTCCCATTTTAGAAAATCAACAAATTAAACTCATAAAAAACTTCACCACTTGAAAGTCTTTAAAACTAAAAGGAACCTGAAACAACAATTTTGTCTCTGCAATTCCGAATATATTGATAAATACATATACACCCAAATTTTCTGTCAATAAAACGAAGCAGAAAGAAGACATAATTCTAGAATAGAGCAACTAATCAAGGAGATAAAAGGAGAAAGGAAAACGTGTGCCGTTGTCTACAATCGTAAACAGTAAAATTCAGCACTTCCATTTCAGCAAATCAATAATTTATTGTAATTTTTAAAAATTCTCAAAATCCAAATCAGCTTCGTCTCTACGATTCTAAATACAGAGAGAGTTACCAAGATTTAAAGAGAAAATTACCAAGATTTGGAGAGGAGGATGATGGAAATTGCGGGTCGTCATCTACAATCGGAATCTCAGCAAAATCAAGTTTTCCCATTCCAAACTTCGACTGCATGCAAGAAGTTTGGGAGGAGACAAATTCTCCTCAAATTAAGAGCTCTCGGACATGCTCAATTTCTTCATTCAAGCACCAACACTTTATGGAAAAATTGAGAGAGATGAATCAAAAGAAAAGTGGGCGAAATGAGATAGGGCAAATTCAAAACTGAATGTTGAAATTTGAATGCCGTTGGGATACTATGAACGTTGGAGTATTTTATTTAATTCTATTTGTGATTTTAAAATAATTCCTCTTCTAAGTTTTTTTTAAAATATTCTGCTCTTATATTTTAAAGAAAACTTTTAAAATAAATTATGTAATATAAAATTTATAAATTCTCACATACATAAATTAGATTAAATAGCTATACATCTTTATGATAAAAAATGTGGAAATATGAATTTTAATAAAATAATATAAAAGTCTAATTTATACAGAAAAAATGAATAAATATAAAAGAAAGTTTATAATGTGAATGAATTTTAGTAAAATAATATAAAAGTCTAATAAATACAGAAAAATTAAATAGATATAAAAGAAACTTTATGATGTGACTAAAACAATGTAAAGAAAAATTAAATTTATGATTTATTTCGATGTAGTATACATTTTAATTTTTAGATTTGAATAGTTATTTTTTAGAAAAGCTATCATATTTTAATCAATTACTTATATTTTAGGAACCATCAATGCCCTTCCGTAAACAAAAAATTAAGATGATATCATTTACATAAATTTAAGGGAAAAGGGTCAAAATTATCCCTCAACTTTGTTTTATTGGTTGATTTTATCCCTGCCATTAAAAGCAAGTTATTTTTACCCCTGCCATCAATAAAGTTAACGAATATACCCCTCTTTGGATGAAAACCCCTAAATCAATTAAAATTATCTGATTTTATTTTAATTACCCAATTTAACCTGATCCGACCCACTTAATAATATAACCCATTTCTTTTATCCGATTCAACTTTATTTTTCCCATCACCACCAAAGACACCACCCACTCCGAGAATGAAAGTCTAGGATCAGTAGACCTAAGATGGAACCCTTCTAAGCATGACTAATATGTGCAACCTTCTAAATTGATAGAAGGTTAAGAATTAGCTATCCTTATAGACCATTGAGTGGAAGCCCAGAACCCATTTTTGGTAGGTGCATTATGACTAGGTAATGACTAAGAGATGGTAACTTTTCATATGCTCCTTTTTATTGAACTTACTCTAGAAGAACAAAGGTTAGCACCGAGCGAATATGTTATGGGATGTAGCTCTACTTGAGAAGGAGACTAGATTGCATAAAAGACCTTGATAATCCTTAACTATGTGCCTACATGGGATGTGTCCTAGTTCTACCCTTGGCAAATAGAACACCCTCTACTGGAGTAGGGTAGACTCCAGATTCCATGCGTAGCTTGTATGGTCTATGTCAGTTATTTCCTATTCTCATCATGTGAGATACATAGTAGTATTAAATAAGCTCTACAATGTTTAGGTAGTGGAATGTTACGCTATCTTGACATGACACGAGTAGGCCTTGATGGTGCTAGAGTATAGGTTCTTTAGGTCTTTCTAAGACCATTATATGAAGTACTTAATGAATGAAATGTCTACTAATTGACTTAATGAATGATTATGACTTTAACTAATGTATGTTGACTAAATGTCCTCTATATTGGGTAGCTTTGAGGGTTGCTTAGGTTAGATTGAAGAGGGTGTATGGGCGGTCTCTTCTTGTCCTACTTAGGTGAATCTTGGAGTAACATTAGGTGGGGAGTAAATGAAAGGAAAAGGGAACAATATTATCTTAGGTAGTCTTAAGGATTAGGTAGGCTTGAAGAGGGTGTATGAGCGGTCTCTTCTTGTCTTATTTAAGTAAGTCTTAGAATAACCTTTGGTGGGAGGTGTATACGTTTCTATAGGTTGAAGTGATTTTGATGCTACATTGTGGAATTTGACTTATATGCATATATGCTGACTTGTAAGTAACTATTATACTTGTCTTAAAAGGTTTTATCAAAAAGAGCATGTTTCATACAACAAAGTCTATTTATCATGATTTTATGCATTACATCATACTTAGTACAAGTGTTTGTACAAATTTCATACTTTTTATCTATCTCTAAATATGAAGTTGGCATTTGAGAGGAGTCTCAAAGTGGAAAGCTTGGATTAGTATTCATTCAAGCAAGAGTTGGTATGTCCTCACTAGATTCGAAGACATCTTGATGTTTACTTTTCCTTATTGAAAGTATTGTAATAGACTTAGATATTTTCCTATATGATGAAGTGTGGGTCGTGTCCCAATATATTCGTCTGTCTAAGATTGCGACTTTGAGACTTAGTCTTTCATTATTTTTTTCTGTAAAAGAGATATTTTGAAGTATTATTATTTCATGTGAAATTTTTTAATTTCTCACTACTTTTCATACATGTATGCAATGAACGATGTAAAAGGTCTTGTATAAGACCTCCAAGAGGTCAAGTACACCGTGTTGCGATTCAAGAATGCCCTAACTTCTATGGGGTACTCTCGAGTCTTAACACATTTGGTATCAGCGCAAAAGGTTATGAATTAGGACTTAGGAATCAAAAAGCAACGTCTAGTAGAGTCTTGTTTATTGGTGTGAATCACGACACTTCCATAAGCGAGAGGCTATAGGAAGATAAAGTTTCCCTTCTTCTCTACTTTTGTGTCGTTTCGTAGAGTTAAAAGTTATAGGTGTCCTTTCTTAATGTTTTCTTTTATGTTTATAGGAGATGAATACGAGGACACCGGCTAGGAGGGTTGATGAGGAGGTGGTTGTTGGGGGAGTTCCTCCCCGAGAAAGTTGAGCAAGTGGAACAAGTACATCAAGGCGCTCAAGTTCCACCACAAGGTGATCAAGTCCCAATTGTGGGTGGAGGTAATGAGGTTTCGGCGGTTCCCCCGGTTATAGCTAATGGGGAGATTAGAGAGGCTCTCCTTACCCCAGCCCGAGCTATGACAACTCAAGTGAATAAAGACATTGGGCCTAGGATGAATTCTATGACCTCTAGATTGAGGGACTTTGTGAGGATGAATCCTCTTATTTCTTTGGTTCTAAGGTGGGAGAAGATCCCCAAGATTTCTTGGATGAGGTGTATAAGATAGTGCATGCTATGGGAGTGACTTCTAAGGAGAAAGTGGAGTTAGTTTCGTATCAATTTAAAGATGTTACACAAGTATGGTTTATTTAATGGAAGGATAGTATACTGGTTTAATCGGTTCCCTTAGAGTGAGAAGAGTTTAACGAAGCATTCCTAGAAAGGTACTTTCCCTGTGAGAATAGGGAGGTTAAGATTTATGAATTTATAAACCTTAGTCAAGGTGGCATGAGTGTTGAGGAGTATTCCTTAAATTTTATCCTATTGTCTAAGTATGATCCATCCTTGGTGTCTAACCCTAGGGATGAGATGAGTAGGTTCTTTACCGGTGTTTCGAATATTGTGAAGGAAAAGTGTAGTACAACCATGCTCCATGGTGACATGACTCTATCTAGGCTTATGGTGTATGATCAATGCATTGAAGAGTCTAAACTTAGGAGGAGAAATAGAGATGCTAAGAGGGGAAGAACCGAGGAGCAAGTTCAACCTAAGTTTAATAAGAGGGCTCCAAATAAAGATGGTCCTAGTGCTCCAAAGGCTAACAATGAGAGAAGTGGTGGTTAAGCCTACTTGTGCTACTTCTGGGAAAAAGCACTTTGGAAAGTGTCTAGTCGGTACTACTTGGTGCTTTGGTTGTGGGAACGATGATCATAAGGTGAGAGATTGTCCTACTATTGCGGCTAGAGGAAGAGAGGCCAAGCAAGTTGCTCCTAATGAACGGATGGTGGTGCTCCAAAGAGGATTTGCTTCTATTTCCAAAGGAACAAAATTAGATACTGATGATAATGCCGGTAAGTTATAGTTTTTTTTCTTTAGTTATAAGAGTTCCTTCTAAGTGGGTGGTGAGTAGTAGAATGGTGATTTGTTGTCTCATCTCTTCTATTCAATTCAAGCTTGAGAGATAGAATGTCATAGTAGCATGTAGCATGTTGCATTGTGTTTAGGAGTCTAGTTGAAATTGAATTTCATTGATTCCTTGCATTGTGCATATTACGAAGTTATGATTATGTTTTAAATTGAGTTTATATGGATTTTTATCTTATATTGTCATAATTTCATCATAAATTGCTTAAGAGTTGCATTTTTTAAACTTGAGCATATTTCATTGTAAGGCTTTGACAGTTCACTGTAAAGATTTTAAAATTTTGACTAAATTGTTTTTTTATGAAAAAATGTTTATAGTACATATAGAACTGTTGTATATGAGCATGATAATGAATGGAGAAGGAGTTTCTCCTAATTAAAATGAAGAAGGTGAGTCTTATTGCATGATTAGTTGTAGAATTAGTTTCTATCTTCTTGTTGTGTTTTGAGTCTCTTAAGTATGTGAAAGTTTTGTTCATCCAAATTGTGTATTGTGTATGGTGTGGTATGATTATGTGCTGCTAGTCTTGAGTTTCTTATTTCTTGATAGTGCCTAAAGAGTAGCAACTGTCATTTGAGGACGAATGTTTACAAGTAGGGGAATATTGTTACACCCTCAAAATGAGCTAGGTGGAGTTAGATCCTAACATACTAATTATGATTTTATTAAGTCCTAAAATGGTTTATAACGATATTTATAGTCAGTGTCTAATGTTTGGTTAAGTTTGGAGGTCAAACGTCCATGATGTTCGAAAGTTTTGCCTTGAAACGTGCTTGCTGCATTAGTGTGTTTCGTCAAGTTCTATGTGTTGTTTTGAGTTAAAATTAATGTGAGAGGTTACTAACATGTATAGTAGAGTATTTGAGGTGGAAAATTCCAGGAAAAACTCCCCAAGGACCAACCAAAGGGTCCTTGAGGAGGACCCAACCTTGGGCCAACAAGTTGCCCATGGCAGCAACTTTTGTTCCTTGGTGAAATAGGTCAGTGCTGCGGACTTGGTCCACCAAAGTGACAAAAGTTGGTCCGCGTCACGGACACAACACAGACTCAACTGCCCCAAAAGTTATTTCCAAAAAAATCATGCGGGAACCGCTCCGCGTCGCGGACTTGTTCCTTGATAATAATTCCAGAAATTTAAGTTGAGTTTGAGTTGGTTAAAAAGGTCCTATAATTTTTAAGGGGTATTTTGGATATTTTAGGGGCTAATTATTGGTGGTA